TGCGTGTGTGTGTGTGTGTGTGTGTGTGTGTGTGTGTGTATGTGTGTTTATATAAATATGAATGACTATGGACATATCATGGCACAGCTGTGGATATCCAAGGACAACAATGTGTGTCAGTCCTTACTTTCCACCTTCTTTGAGGTTGGATCGCTTGCTACCCTAGTATACCAGACTGGTTTGTCTCACATCACATCATAGGAGAAAGAGCTGGAATTACATATGCATTCTACTTTTGCTTGCTTTACATTGTTTGTGGAGATCTGAACTCAGATTCTCACACTTGTACCATACCACAAGGACTTCACCTACTGAGCTATCTTCCCAATCGCATGATTCCCTAGACTAAGAAATATCAACAGGTACAGTCTTGTGAGGGTACCATAAGAGTAATCAAAGCTGCTATGGTTTGTTGTTGTCAACAGCCAGGACATATAGACAAAGTTCTACTATACAGTCCTGCAGAGAAGCATAGTATCAGTGGTACAACATTTACACAACTATTATGCTGAATAATGAGAAAAGAAAAAAATCCAAAATGAAGGATATAATTATATACTCAAATATCTCTTTGACATGGCACACAAATCTTCTTTATCACTTATTGTGGTTTGGTTGAAATTTGCATGTCAGTAATCAATCATGTGCTGGGTTTGCATCTTCTATTGTGCACAAGCAGAGGCTGAACACATTGACAGTTTCCAGAACTACAACAGGACTTAAATAGCCAATAAAAATGGAAATTTATGTCTGTGATACACGTGTCCATGGTAGACTGAGTACAAAACTCTGAACACGAGTCTTAACAACATCAAAAAAATCATAATTGTGAGAAGATTCTTGATTCTTGAAGTAGTAGAAGCAACTACTCCAGACTTTGTAACTTAGATCTCATCAAATGTTTAAAATAGAAAACAGGCCTTATGAAGCCTCAAAATTCAATTCTTCTTTTTCTCTTTTATCCTTGTGTTTTTAGTGATCCAAGTCAGAGCTGTCCATATGCACATGAAATTTCTAGAAAAACATCATAAATTTGATAATTATTGCAACTATTTAAATTTCTTTGAGTGGTAGGCAGTCTGATTATAGTTTTAAATCCATACTCTTGTTGCAAAATTTAATTACCATTGTGTTATAATCAGAAGAAATACATGATTTAACTTTTGTGTCATGCTCTTTTCTATAAAGCAGGATTTCTTTGTTGTTGGAGGATTAAATTCTTTGTAAAACAGATCTGCCTGCTTCAACTTCTCATATACCTTGGCATACAAGCATCCTCTATCATACCTAGTGATTTTGTGCTTTTATAAATTTAATGTAAATTGTTTTGTGAACTACTATATTAGGGAGAATGTTTCATAAATCTTTGAATTGAATATCTTTTCTCTTTTTTTAATGAATGTTCAGATGTCTTTTTGAAACAAGATAATTATCATATTGTTGAACTCAGTCTGTGGGGAAGGCTTTGCCCTGGAGGAGATGGGAATGGGGGAGGGGCTGGGGGGAAGGTGAGGGGGACAGGAGAGGGGAGAACAAGGGAATCCGTGGCTGATATGTAGAACTGAATTGTATTGCAAAAAAAAAATAAAAAAAATTACTAAAATTAAGAACAAAAAAAGACATCTATACCCTTAATATATTTTTAAATTTAATTTTTGAGATTTAATTTTAGCATTTTTATTTATGTGTACATATGTTTCTGTATATGGTGTGTTCACATGAGCACATGTACCTGAAGTGTTCTGGGGCTGGGTAACAGACATTTGTCAGCCACCGGATGTGGGTGCAGTGACTGAATTCAGATCCTTCCCATTTAAATCTGAGATTCCTCTCTAGGTCCTTTATTAAAATTATAATTTTAAAGTGGTATCTATTTTCATGAGTCTGTGTAGGTTTGCCCATGAACGGAGTGCCTAAGAGAGCAGAAGAGACAACAGAGCTCATAGAATTCAAGTTAGAGGCCGTTGTGAGCCAACTGACATAGACCCTAGGAGTCAAACTCTGCTGAGCCATCTCCCCTCCCCACTTAAACATGTTGAGTGTAAACTATTCTATACTTTATTGAAAGTGCCCACTGAATTTTCAGACAAATCTTATGGAACTCTTTTTCTTTTCCAGTAAAAATTTCAGTTTAGGATCACAATATATTAGAGCTCGATCAGGATCCTGTTATTTATGTATGTTACATTTTCTTTATAACATCATTTGAAAATCATTCATTCCTGGGATGACAAGATGACTCAGTAGGTAAAGGCGATTGCCAGCAAGCCTGATGATCTGAAATCCATCTACAGGACCCACACGGTGGAAGGAAATTGTCTTCTAACCTGGGGACATGGCATGTGCCACCTCAATGCATAAATAAATATAATGAAAAAAATTAGAAATCAAAGTAAATAAATAAATGAACTGACCTTTTCCATTTGCGTGCATGGACACAATAGCATTCTTTGTGTCTTGTCACATTTTTTGTGTTGTATTCCACATGCCTTATATTAACACAGACACAGCTTTTTTGTGTGTGTGAACCTTGTCTGATACATCCTTTTCTAGCTTTGTATTTCAACATATTCTGCCTTGAGATAGAAAGTGAATCTATCGTAGATGACTAATACTTTGATTATCTGGAAAATATTTTCCAGATCTGCACTTGGCTGGAAAGTGTAATCTAATGCCGTTGTTTTAGAGTTCATAACCCAGGAGAACCACTTCTGCCTGCCCGTTGTTTCTGGAGAGCGCAGTAGGAGAAGCACTTCTGCCTGCCTGCTGTTTTTGGAGAGAGAGCACAGTAGGAGAAGCACTTCTGCCTGTCCTCCACTGTTTCTGGAGAGCACAGTAGCTCACTTCTCTTTTTGCAGCATCAGGTTTGCTTCTCAGCTCTTCTGCTTACTTTGTGTTGAAAATCTTCCATATTTGACTTACTTGTGTTCTTTATTTTCCTTCTTACATGTCCTTTCTTTTTATCTTCTTCCTTTCCTTTCTGCATTGAATATTACAAGCATTGTTTTAATCTGTGATAAATTTATTGTATTTAATATGAACTTAGATTCAGTAGTACCAAAAACACTTTGCTCCTCCAAAATTGCATTTCTCCCCCCTCGTTTATTCCCTAGCAAATCACATTTGTGTGCCCATCAATGTAGGTTCACAATTAATCCACTTGTTTTTGTTTTTAAGTCATAGGACAAAAGAGAAAAAGTTCAAATCCACGTCACTTTTGTTGACTTTCATATTTACTCCAGTATTTACCTTTCCATTATTTCATTGTGTGTGTTTTAGTTCCCATGCCATTACATGTCAGACACAGATGCTCCCTTAGCCTTGGAATGTAAGGGTTAAACACAAAAGAACATTCTGTTTTGCGTATGAGCCTATCCTAACTTCTTATTTATTTGTGCATCTATTTACCTATGCTTATATTTATTAGCTAATTTATTTTAATAATTAATATTTTACTTAACAAATGCTTTGATGAAGTCTGATAAGATCTATTTTGCTTTGATAATGTATATAGTATAATGTAATGTAAATATATTTTAACATTAAGTGCATAATTTCCCATGATTTTGTAGCTTATACTTTTTATATTTAAATAAATAGACTAATTAATAAATAATCTGCATATTAACATGCATCTTTTTCACTACTGAAAAAAAGTCTATAGTAAAATATACAAGCTCTCAGTAGTAGGCAGGCACAGCTTGTTTTGATGTTTTTCACTATTTAAACATTTAATTAGCACATAAAGCAACAGGTTTTCTTGGGGCATTTTCATATATTTGGTTTAGCTTATGTCCATCTTACTTAATCAAACCTCATATTCTTGCCCCTGGCAACCCTCCTGCTACTTTGCTGTCACGTGTTTTCTGTTACCCTCCCACCCATAGCAGAAAATAATCATAACATTTACAGCATATGACTTTCCAAATCCTCCAGAGAACACCAGATTGTCTGCTCAGTTTTGTGTTTTCTTCTTGAGCAATGCATGGCTGTGGGTGATTTCATGGATGGGGGAGTGACATAAAACAGATGTATGAACTTAAAATCATTGTAAATTTAAAATAAAGATAAGTAAAGATTATTGACTTTCCCTTTATTAAATATAATATGGGTGGTCTTTATTGCTAATTTTTGAAATTCCAGTCAATATAAATTCTGTAATAATATTGAAAAATCTACACTTTAGGTAAAAATACAAGTAATAAATGTGAAATCTATGCATAGCCCTCACCAACCATTTAAAGTTGTGTTCTCTCAGCAACTGAACTACTTTTTGCTTTTAGATATCGAATTTTAATGAGCACAGTACCTTCAAAAGAGTGAATGACTACTTGGCAAGGGGAAGCTCTCAAGGTTCAAACACAATGGGTGAGTTATAGAGTGGAAAGATACCAATACCATGAAGCATCTAGAGAACACTGTGTATGGATACGTTTAACTAAAATCAGAGATGATGGGACAGCCCTCGTGCTTCAGAAGGAGAGGTAGAATATACTTGACTTGAGATACCAATGGTAGAAAGAATGGGGCAAAGTGATCCTGAATAGCAAACAGTTACTAGAAGAATACAGCTTAGGTATCATAGACTATGTCCTTCCTTATAATGAGCATTACTCATGACAGCTTTGAACTTTAACTTCACAGTAAGAGTGTGAAGAACTTGTATTACAGAGGAGTCCTCTGTGATCTCAGCAATACTAAAGAGTGCCAAGCAGTAGGAGCTTGAAAACTTGTTGCAGTTTTTTAGATTAGGGCAAGGAAACATGTTGCGAACTCAGAGACAATAGAAAGGCCCTGTTTTTCAGTCAGAAAGAAAGAATGCTCTCTGTGCTGTGGTAGGAATGAGAACTCTTAAAGACCATGTGATTTCACAGACAGAAGTTATTTCTGCACCAGTTCTTAGCTCTGCCCAGCTCCTGATGATTTGCATTTGCCCAGAACACAGCCCATCGCTTTGAGTATAATTCTAAAGAGCTAGTCACACCATCCAGAGGAATCTATCTGAATCACATGTGACACAGCATGGACATGAGGGTCTCTGTTCAATTCCTGGGGCTGGTGATGCTCTGGCTCACAAGTAAGGAGGATTGGCCTTGGGAGATTTCTCAAAACACTGATTATTGTTGCTTGTCTTTGAGGGTTATCCTGTCATAGTATTATTAATTGCATGGGTGTCTGCTTTTAATGTTCCAACTTCAGGTGCCAGATGTGACATTCAAGTTACCCAGTCTCCATCATTCTTGTCTGCATCTTTGGGAGACAGAGTCACCATGACTTGTAAAGCAAATCAAAATATTAACAAGTATATGGCTTGGTACCAGCAGAAACCAGGTGAAGTTCCTAAGCTCCTGATCTATTATGCATCCACTTTGCAATCAGGAGTACCCTCAAGGTTCAGTGGCAGTGGATCTGGGACAGATTATTCCTTTACCATCAGCAGCCTGGAGCCTGAAGATGTTGCAACTTATTACTGTCAGCAATATAATAACTTGTACCACAGTGATACAAGTCATGACAAAAACCACTCAGAAAAGCAGAAGTGAGGGTGTAAACTGTCCCCAATACTCTTCTTTGTTCTTTTACCTGACAGCATTTCTCAAATGCAATCAGGCTCTTGTGCCCACGTGGAGGCTTTTATGAAAGGCACAGGGATTTTGTTATGCACCCCACTCTCCATTTTATCAGTACATTTTTAGAGGCATGACAAAGCCTCCCAATTCCACAAGAACAAAAGTATATACACCTGATGCATCTGGATGTTAGCAGTTGAGATGCATAAAGGAAAACAAGAATGACTGTAGATATTCAAAGAAGAGACTGTTTTAATAAATGGAGGTAGAATATGAGTAATAGCCATTATCTGGCTTTAGTGCTCTTGTCGTCACTGAAGTATATAATAAAGAGTATTCTCAGCAGCTCTCTCAGAATACAAAGCTTTCTATCAAGAATGTCTAGGCTGTCAACCCATGTTATACTCAGACCTGTTCAGAAGTCTAAAATTATCACTGGGTGTTGACAACAGAAAATATAGTATGGTTGATGTTACTGAGTTTTCAGATAATGACAGACAAGGGCCAGATTCATAATATGTGTTCTTTGAAGTATTATCAGTAATTTTAGGATCATAGTGAAAAAAAAAACAACAGAAAAATAGCCTTATTTAATTCATATAGCAAACAGAAAGTGAAAATGTGCATGAAATAATTTTGTAATTAAAAATCAACAGACTACTTAAGCTGACTAAATACTGATATAACTCTCATTTCCATTGATAAATAAAAGTCCTGATGCTAAATCTTATCAAAAGGTCACTCATTTCCTTCTGAATCAGCTTCTTAGAAATGAAAAATAGCAGTCTATATTTTGCAAGCACTAGCAATGGTCTACATTTTAACAAGACATCTGTGTCAGATTGAAATGTTCTATTTAATGACTTCTATATTTTAACCCAAATGCTTGCCATATTGGTCAGTTAAGAATGTATCCCATCTTTGAGCTATGATACGCCAAGAAAATCAATTCTGATGTGAACACTTCAAAATATTTCTTAAAGAGAGTCAGATACCATGAAGCTGAAATTATATGTGGTTGTGAGCCACCTAACATAGGCATTGAGGACTTAATTCCAGGTTTCTGCAAAAGCAAAAAACCCTCTTAACCACAGATCCATCTCTCTGGCCCTTTAGAGCATTTCTTTCTACTTTAGCTCCCCTCTTCCCTTCCTACCCTGTTGAATTTCCCTTCAGAGACCTTGTTTACTCACTTGTTCCTCACTCCTATCCTGTTCCTTTTCTTTCCTTCTCCCCTCTATCTCTGTTTCATAGATCACTCCAAACATTTACATGTATATTTAATTACATATGGACAATTTCTTTCCTGCATTGATCGCTCACTATTCTGTCTTAAGTGAATGAAAAGGTTTAATAGAGAGACAGAGGAGTAGGTTTCTTCTTCTTTTTTGTATTAAGGAGCAACAATTACTACCCTGAGGGAAAGGAATACATGACCCTGAGAAGATCAAGAGACATTTTTAAACTATACAAAATAAAGGAAGGTCCACTATTAAATTTTCATAAATCTACATTGCATATTTTGATCAAAACATAGTATATGCATGTATGAAGTTCTCACAAAATAAGTTTTAATTTCATATTTGTAATTATTATTATTACTACTAGTAGTATTTTATTATTACTATTATTATTTTTATCTGGATGACAGTTTCCCCTCCATCTTCTTCTCTCAGTCCCTCTCCCACCTCCTCTCTGCCCCTCCCATCCATGACTCCTTCATTTCTATTAAGAAAAAGGCAGGCCTCCCATAGATAGCAACCAAACATGGCATATCAAGTTGCAGTAAGACTAGGCACCTCCCCTAATATTAACGCTGGACAAGGCAACATAGTATGAGGAACAGGGTCCCAAAAGCCAGCAAAGGAGTCAGAGAACAGCCCCTGCTCCCACTGTTTGGAGTCCCACAAGAAGACTAAGCTACACATTATATATATATATATATATATATATATATATATATATATATATATATGTGTGTGTGTGTGTGTGTGTGTGTGTGTGTGTGTGTGTGTGTGTGTGTGTGTATGTATGTATGTATATGTGGATAGAGGTCTAGGTAAGTCCCAGGCAAGCTCCTTGGTTGTTGGTTCAATCTCTGTGAGCCCCTGTGAGCCCTGTGAGCCCTAGTTAGTTGATTCTGTGGTTTTTCCTGTGGTGTCCTTGATCCCTCTGGCTCCTACAATTCATACTCCCCCTCTTCCTTAGGATTCCCCAAGCCCTGCCTAATGCTTGATGGTAGATCTCTGCATCTGTTCCCATAAATTGCTTGATGAAGCCTCTCTAATGACAATTGGGCTAGGCACTAACCAATGGGTATAGCAGAATAATATCAGGCATCATTATTAACTTTTTTTTGCCAGTTGTATTTGATTTTATCCTAGGTCTCTGGGCTCTCCAGCCTCTGGGTCCTGGCCCTTCAGGTAGTTTCATGGGTGGATTTCCACTCTTGGTATTGGTCTCAGGCTGACCCAATCATTGATTGGACACTCCCACAATTTCTGTGCAAAATTTACCCCAGTGTGGTGATATTTTATTTGTGCTGAATTGTTTAGAAATTCGTCTACACTCCAGCACATCTTGTAAGCAGCACAAATTGTAGGTTGACGGTTATGTGGCTGGGTTGGTGTCCCAATCCCTCCATTGGAAGTCTTACCTGGTTATAGGAGATGTCCAGTTGAGGCTACATATCCCTAGTGCTAGGAATCTTAGCTAGGGTCATCCTTGTTTATTCCTGGGAATTTCCACTGCACTAGGTTTCTACCTCACACAGAATTGTCCTCCCTTTCCAGTCATCTCTTCCAATACTCTCTCCCCAACCCTCACCTGATCCCTCCTGTTCCCATCCCCACCCACCTCCAATCCACCCTCAAAATCTATTCTATTTCCCCTTCCCAGGAGATCCCAGTGCCCTCCCCCCTGAAAAGACCAAGAGAAATGTAAACTACACAAAATTAAGGGAGGTCAATTATTACATTTTCATAAATATACATTGTATACTTTGGTCAAAACATAGTATTTGCATGTATAAAATTCTCAAAAGAATGAAAAAGATTATAAACACAGTAAGAGGTTTGCAGGATGGGAATGTTCTATGTAGACAGTACTACTATCCAGATTATTCAAAATCAGATCTGGCTGTGTCCTTTTCCTGCATGACAGAATGACAATGGGGAAAGAGCAGTCTTCATGTAAAACCATAACTATCCTCCCCCAGAAGACCTGTGGGCATTACACTCTGCTGTGCATTCTCACTGGAGGGAAAGAGATTTTAATACCATCGTGGGTAAGCAAGACAAATCATGACAAAAGGAAGATGAGAGGGAAGAGAGGAGAAAGATGGAATGGGCACAATCGGGGACAGGATAAGATAGTGCACATATACAATGTACACTGATTTTACTGGGTTCTACCTCGGTGGTATGTCGCTGTTTCAGCATTTATCTGATGGAAGATGATTGGACAGTTTGGCCCTGGATGCAATCCCAAGCATTCTGACTAATAGATGAATACAGGCACAAATGATGCACATAACAACATGGAGAAGAAAAATAGGGCAATGTGGTCACAGAGAAGTAAGAGCTACAGAGGCTGTAAGAATCAACGGGGGAAAGTCTCCCTTAAAACCTCCCTTTTACCACCACCCACATCTTGATGTTGACTCATTGAACCTGACTTAAGAACTCTCTTAAGAACTATAAGGGATTACACCCCCAATTAAAGTCCAAATATTGGTAATTTGTTATGAGTCCCTGGAACAACTATACAAATTTAACTCAAAACAAAATAGATTAAAGCTTTTCTGATTGATTTATTCTCCTGGTTCAGTTCTCCAGGTCTTTGTATGTAAAGGTAGAAGATGCCTATAGCTTAGAAAGAAAGCACATGAAACTTTGTAGTGTATTGTGAGGCTCACCATGACTGTGCAATACACATTGGTGATTGTTGTGCCCAGCTCCTCCCAATCTCTGCTGATTTGTATGAGCATAGAGCACAGTCTAATGCATGAGTACTTCTTGGATTTGCTGGTCACATCCTGTGCAGGTGTCAGTTACAATCAAGACAAGGGTTGTCACTCAAATTCTGGGGCTGCTGATGCTCTGGATTCTAGGTATTAAGGGTAGACTCTGGGATTTCTCCCAACAAAGTGGTCTTTGCTGTTTGGTATTTGAGGAAAATCTCATAGGAATATTACATATTTGGTGGATGTTTGATTTTAATTTTCTAATCTAAGGACATAGATGTGATATCCTGATGACCTAGTCTCCATCTTCCCTGTTAGCATCTCTAGGAGAGAGTCACCATCATTTGCCAATAAAGTCAGAATATTAGAACTTACTTACGCTGTCATGAAAAGAAACAAGGAAAAGTTACTAATAGCTTCACCTATGATGCATTTCATTTGCAAACTGGGGTCCCATCAGGATTCAATACAGTGATTCTGAGACAAATTTTATTCTCCCCATGAGCAGCCTAATGCCTGAAGATGTTGCAACTTATTACAGTCAACAAAGCTGTGATACCCCTCCTACAGTGACTCATAATAGTAATGCCTCAGGCAAGAAGAATAAGGCTGGGATGCTCCAGCTGTTCCTGCTAATGTCCCACCTACTGACAACATCTTTATATGGAGCCAGGTTTTGAAGATCCCTAGGAAGTTTTGGGAAAGGACCCCAGGAGACTGATGCCTACCTAAATATGACAACATCTCTGATGATTCTCTAAGAAGAGAAGTTTATGTGCCTTGAGTATCTGTGTGAGCATCAGGAGTGATGCTCATAGAAAAACAAAAGCAACTCTATGTTTCTTCATTTTTCCTTTATTTAAAACACATTATTTTCTCTTATAATATATCCTGATTATATTTTCTCTTCCCTCTTTACTTCAAGTTCTTTCCCATCTCACTTCCATTCTGAATCCACTCCCTTTCTGTTTCTCATTTGAAATTTTTGACTTCTAAGAGACAACAATCA